TTTAATGGTAATTTATTATGTTCTATTGTATTTCAATGTATTTTATTGTGTTGTAAGCCGCCCCGAGGCTTCGGCAAGGGGCGGCATAGAAATGTTATAATAATAATAATTATTACAGGAAATCCAAATCCAGTTGAACATGCAAATACTCTCCCCCAACAGACGGTAATTATATGGAGGTTCTATGCAAGGGAAGCAGAGCTTCCCTGTGAGGTGTATACACATGCACGTGCGCACACGCGCACACAGACACAGATCTGAGCAACTGTGGTACCCTTTCCAGGTACTGCTCACAAGCAGAATCAAAGCAGCCACGGATGGGCTTGTGGTGAGGGGATGGGGGCACAGTCAGGATGATATAAGCCCCTCATCTCAGCACACACAGTGTGCAGTGTTGATTATTTTGACTCAATATGGAGAATCCAGCAAACTATTTTGAAATGCACATCCCTGTTAAGAGGATGCACACACCCAACCCCAGTCCCAATGCCCCTGATCTGGAGAAGACGTCTGTTTACATACAGTGAATGTGTGAATCAGTCTCCGCAAACCTGGTCCCTTCCAGATATCTTGGACTTCAGCTCCCATGAGCCCTAAACGACAAGGCCAATGGTCAGGAATGCCAGGAGTCGTGCCTTTCAGATGCTTTGGACTGCACTGTTGACGAGGATGGTACATGGAACTGTGTTTTTTGCCCATGTACAGTCAGTGCCATTGCTCCAAAAATACTCTTGAAACCAGTAGGCTGCAAGCAGGTGTGGAACCTTTTGGAAAAAAAGGAAGCCACATGTTCTGCCAGCTTGGAAATCTCTGCCTTGCACTTCTTTGGGCTGAAGCTAATGTAGTAACTGATTAAGGAAAAAAACTAAGGCCACATCTGCAAAAGTGTTTTTAGATTTTTTTTTTCCTGTAACAGTTAATGAAAAACTCAACACCATCCAATACCAGATTGCTTTGGTTATGTATAACTAAAAACAAAATGAGCAAAAAAAGTAAAAATAAAAAGGAACTTAAGCTGTTTACAATGTTTCCCAATATCTTTTATTTCGTCCCCCGCCCCCAACGACATTACAAAAGATTGCGTGTTTTTGTATTATTTAATAAACTGGCTCCTCTGCAGTTCATATACAATCACAGGCAATTTTTTTTAAACTCCATTTTATACAAACATCTCAAAAAATAGTTGGGAGTGAAGTATGGTAGGAAATATTGCTCACATTGCTAGTTAACATGCACTGAAGAGAAGGAGGGAAATAGTGCAGACCTCCAGAGCGGGAAAGGAAAGGTTAAAAACGCCTCCAAAGTAAAGATACAGTAGATGATTTGGCGCACAATCCAGTAGCACATTCTTCCATCCAAGCCTGATGGAAATGAGCAGAAAGTTGCAGTTCTTGCTCATTTCAATGAGGCAGAAACAGGAGAACCTCCTAACAGATTTGCCTCCTTACAGAAACACACTGAAAAGGTGAATGTTGTCAAAATTAAGTTTTTCATGCGATTCTACCTTCCAGTACTATACTGTAATTAACTTTGTTAATTTATATACGTACATGGCCATATGTGGAACACTTTTGAGGTATATCAGAAGAGATACTTGCCCCAATATTGGGAGTAGGACAGAAAATGCTTTCTTTAAGAAGGAGAAAACTTCCAACGTGCTTCACAACCAATTTCACACTTTCAATGGAGCTAGGTTGTAAGATACAAGGGGTTGCTGTTGAAAACATTAATTAGTTCAATGGGAAGTCCCCCTTTCCCTCCCTCCAATACAATTTGCTCTGTGTGCTCATGTCATATTGTCAAATATTTTCCCTCCACTACCCAAGGAAGTCAATGACGTGGGGTGAGGGCAAGGAAGCACACAATGAAATGCTGAAATGACAGCAGGATGTGGGGGGGAAATTTGCTACCTATTACGAACTGGGGATCCAATCTGGGGCTGCCATTTTCAGTTGCAATCCCATGTTCTTTGTTTAGTGTCGCTGCATCCTGAATTTTTCAAACAAAGAACCAGCTCCGATGAACGAAGGCAATAGCCTCTCCAGCTGTAGGCACTTTTGAAAGTGAATTGTGGTATTCACTGAAGCGAGTCATTCCTTTCCACTCAGTCCTCCACAACAAAAGAGGAAATACTACTTCCTACTTTAGCCTAATTGAAATTTTACTTTGCCATTTTTACATAACTAGCAAATGAGGAAGTGGGAGGGAAAAGACAGCTTATGGTACACAATTTATACAACAGACAGTGCCTTAAGATAACTAATTTAGACTGTTTATTCTTCTCAGTTTCTTTTTTAAGTGTATGAATGAGACAAATATAAGCTTTTTAAAAAACTTCATTCACATAATGGAAAAAAATTCTCATTTATTAAAAATATCACATTTTGAGACTAGAAACAGTAAAGTGCATGAAAAGTTTAAAATATAAGCTCAAGGAATCTTATATAGCAGCAAAGAAGCAGAATACAGAAAAACTTAAAAACACCTTTTCTTGTCATTTTGCCTTTGTTGTTGACGTTTGAAATGGAAAGCATGGCTCAATTGACTAAAGGCTATGGTTAAGCAACCTTCAAATAATTCAATAGGCTATGCGTGACATTCTGCCAGTCCCACCACAATGAACGGGCTATTCAGCAGGGCAAATTGCAGCCAATACTTTTAAAAGAGATGGCCTTGGGATTCTTCTGATCTCTGGAGGGACAAAGGTTTGAAATGGCCACCATGAGCATGGAAAAAGAAAAAAGAAAATCCAAGTACCTCTTAAAGAAAGCAACTAACTGTTGGGAATTAACAAGCAGATTTTATTTTTAAATCAACCTTGATTAAAAAAAAAACAGAGAAACAAAAAAGATCATAAAAAGCATGAGATGGCTCTTTGGTGACTAGGGTCAGGAAAAGCAATGATCTGAGGAATGATTATGGCTAACACTTTCTCACTCTCAGCTGGGACAAAGTGCACCCAGAAAAGCCATTTCTCATGCATGGAGGAGCCAGGTGTGCTCCATGCCCCATAGCCCTGATCGGCTGGCAACTTGTAAGTTTTACTGGGAAGGTGAGGATAGGACTGCAGTTTAAAAGAGGAGGGGGAAGTGGAACACCCGTGGATCACGTTGGGAGGTATTTGCCCTTTGAGTGAATGTAAAACAGACAATCTTAAGTGTTGGGTTCACCCTTCCATGGTCAACATTTGCCTGGTTTGCTCTCCTGGGCCACACAGTAAGTAATTCAAAGTCATACTGCAGGCATTCTTCAGAGCTTTGCATGGGAAATGCTGGAATACATCTGGAGCTTTCCTACCATCAGCCCTAGAATGAATGGCAAACACAGCAATTCACTGGACTGGAGATCCATGAGTGGAAAAAGTGGTAGTGCTCCATTTGCTTCGATGGAGCTCCCACAGGATGTGAACTGTTCCTGATCTTGGAATGGGAGGCTCCATAAAGTAAACTGGCCCTATATACAATTATTTGCTCACAGGCAAATTCTTCATGGAAGGAATTCTGGAATTAAAACAATCAGGTCATTTTTCTCCACTTTAATTTTTCTGGGGAGAGAAGAAGAGCAGTCTGACTGTGAATAATGTTCAAAAAAAGGTAAGTGCTATTCCCAATCACAAACATTTCCCAACCAATACACCAGTTGTATCTAGCTATTTCAGAATGCTTTATAAAAATGAGGATGACTTGGGAGAACGAGGAACGACTCATTTTGTTAGCATGTTAAATAAAGTCACAACTATAGTTGCACACTTATATGGAAACCCTCCTGTCTGATTTGTCCATTTATAAAGGCAGCTTCCCAATGGAACAAATTAAGCCTGCCAGTTTAAAATGTGTGTGTGTGTGTTCAGATATATTAAAAACAAACCAAAAAAAAACCTGAAAAAGGGAACGAACAACAACTTTGGTTCCAGCCCTAGTGCCAAATGGTACCAATATGCACCAAAATGTGCAAAATTGTATCACCAGCACACGTAATGAAAGGAGCTCGAAGCAGCAGCTTTTAAAAGGTTGGCCATACTTCACTCCTACATACTTTGATTTACAACTGTACAGGTCCATAAACAAACAACAGGTCTCTGCCCGCAAAAGGGGCTGGGCTACACTACCTCCTGGCAGGCAAGTGGATGCCATTGACGGGAGGCAGGAACAGAGGGTGGAGCTCAAGCTGGGTCAACAGTGAAAAGTGGTCTGAGGGGATGTGTGGGTGGGGGCACCCGGTGATGTTGTTCTGAACCAGCCACTGCGTATCCAAAGGCCCCAGGACACCGAGGACGTTCATGTGAGTGTTGGAATAAAAAATGTAGTCAATCACACCCTAGAGAGAGAGAGAGAGAGAGATGATTTGAACAAGAGCCTGTGAACAAAATAAGCTGCAAAAGGCCACTGACATGGCCCACATTTTCAAAGCACAAGGCTGCCTCCATCCCCTCCTGCTGAACCAGGAAGAGGGGAGGGCAAGAAGTGGCTGGGTCCTGACGGAAATCATGCCTGCCAGGATCTGCTGTAGCTACCCCAGCCTAACAAGCAATAAAGATTACTGTCGCTCTAAGTAGGAAAGGCGCGTGAGTAACTCTGAACATGCTGTGAAGCTGCAGGCAAATCAAAGCTCCGCAGCCATAGCCACGGTTAAGTTCAGAAGAACAAGAGTGCCCTCCACATGTTTTAAGGCAGAAAAGCACAGCAGTGGTGAGGCTGCCAAACCTATAAAGAGTAGGCAACATAGGGCCCAGGTTGGCCTCTGCTGCAGCAGCAAAAGCACCACATTTTGCTTGTCTTCAAAGCTACATGCGGGCTCCTTGAGTTTCTGTATCCGTTTGTTGCTGAATTCTAGTGACAAACATGTATGCATGTGTGTATGGGGTGGTGGGGGGGGGGGTTGTCACGGCAAAATTCAGCAGCACAGCAGAAGTGAGACCACAGCTCTCCAGAGGGTGATATGATAGCTAGAAACTGATCACTCAACTGCCCAAAGTTTCCCATCCCTGTCCGACAACATATAAGTACCAGCTTTAGAACATCCTGAATGGGGGTTCAGGCACAGAAACGAAGTACCCAGACTCTGCGCCTTTCCCGGCCTAGATGGTGCCTCTTTGCACACACGGATGCAGCTGCAAGTTGATCACTGTTTGCTTGGCAACCACATATTGATTTAAACATGTATTGTATTTTTCACGGATTTTCTTCTAAAGATTGTCTATTAATTCACCTTCAGTATATTCCAGTTACTGAATGAATTCATTGAAGTGACTAACGATGTCAACATTTACATGATCAAGGGGAGTAGGGAAATGAGGCAAAGTTGGAATAAACTGGTATATTGCGTACTAGTGCAATAGTACATTCATGAGCAAAGCTCTTGCATAATTTTAGTGAACTACCCTTAAGTTGTGCAAGTTTTTGCATGATGTTTCTCACCATCTATGATGGTGAGGATTTTACTGAATTGCAGTTTTCTGAGGCTACAACCAGGGTTATTGGAGACATCTGCAACGCAGTGAAATGAGTTCGGGTTTCCATGAATCAGTCATGTGGATTCTGTAGCAGACTTTTCTGAGTCATGTGGATTCTACCAAAGAGGGGATCATTTTTCCTTCTGGGGAAGAATCTATGCTAATGTGTACTTGTGAGACTACACATTAGTTAATGCACATTAATTACGTTAGATTAACTGTGGAGCATGTATCGACACTGAAGTGCACTTGCACAAGCAGAACGAAGTTCTTGCGCATCTCCAAAATAAATCTGACCCCAGCAATAAGAGGACGATGGAATGTATGACACTTGACAAGCTGTGAAAGACAGATGCACATTCCTATCCAGACCCTTTCTGAATTATTTCACTACTTGGATCACTACTTACTTTGAAATCAAAGGTGTAATTAGTATAAGGCATCAAGTTGTTTTCATAAGCGCTCTTGAGTTGGAAGCCGTGAGTGATTCTTCCTTCAGAAGCCCCGTTCTTCCCATTGCCACTGAAGTTCATGAGACACTCGTTATACCGCAACTCCTTGAAGTCTTTATGGTTGTCGGCAACTATGCCATTGCTTAAGTATTCCACAACACCTATTTTGTAAGACAAAACAGTGTATTTGTTGCTGCTTAAGGCCAATGCAATCCTTCGTTCCCCATGATTTCAACTCTACAGTTCTGTTTGCATGATGACTGACACCAGCAGCAAGAAAATTAACACTGCAAATATCTTCCTGAGAGCTTCTGACCACCTGTTTAACTAGGCAATAAACCAGCTGGCTGTTAGAGAAATAACCCCTCCAGCTGGGCTTACTGCACCTGTAATCGGAAGGGAAATTATGGTTATCTGTTTAATGTTACTGTGCGAATTGCAACTGACCATTTAGCAGTTGCTCTGGGCAAACAACAGAGAGGGAAATGATACTGATTCAAAAAAGGGCATGAACTTCTTCACTCACTTTACCCCACCTGCCTAAGTCTTTGTACATATACAGGGAGAATTAACTGCTAAAGTTAGAAGTCCTTGGGGACCAAATAGCAAGGGCCCCATTTCTGAGCAAAAGCTCCTCTGCTGTCATAGATAATAAGAGTCTCAGGAAAGGAGGGCATCATTCTCAAGAAAAGGGAAATGATCTCTTGGAAGGGACCCATTGCTTGGAAGATAAGCAATTTCTACCTCGTACTGAGGATGTGCCTCTGGGCACAGGGGAACCACTGTAGTGGATGATTTGATCGTCAGACACATGGATAGTGGAGCCTGCAATGGGTGTGTAAACAGCAAGGTAAATGGCCATCTTGGTGTGAAGGCTGCAGGTATTATGTGCCATCTACATAATCCTGTAGATAATGTTGGAGTGGAGTCGATGGTTATGGTCTGTGTTGGTATCAAGGATGTGAGAAACTGTAACTGTGAGGTCTTAGAAGGTAAATGTATGTTGTTAGGTTGAAGGTGGAGATCTAGGATCACCAAATTGGCTTCCTCTGAAATGCTACCTGTTTCATTTGCAAGGTCAGCAAGTCACCACAGCTGAGGCGTCTCAATGTGTGGATGAGATAGTGCTTGCAGAGAAGAGGGGGTTTCGATTTGCACAGGAGAGACAGGCTCCACTTGAATCAAAATAGAACCAGGCTCCTGACACTAATCATTAAAACATGGCAGAGCTGTTTTTAATCTGAACCCTGGGGAAAGCTATTAGAAAGAAGGAGCCTACCTTTGGAAAATGGAAGACCTGTCCAAATGAGGAAAACAAAGGGGAGCACAATCTTGCACGGGGAAGACAAAGGCAGAAGGTAGGAAATGCAAAAACACATTGAGGAGTTTCTTGTTAACGGCATATAAATATACATAGGATTGGGCTGTATGTCTAGAAACAGCTCGATGCATTTATAATATCAGGAAAGCTTAATGTGGTGGATGAGCAGGTTGCTTACCTGTAACTGATGTTCTTCGAGTGGCCATCTGTGCAGTCACACATATGGGTTCTGCGCCTGTGCAGTGCCTCTGGCCGGAAGACTAACAGCTAACGGTTTTTGGCGGAAACTCCGCTCCCCCTCCCCCCTAGCATGATATAAGGAGCAGAGTGTCCGCCATTTTCCAGTCTTTGAAAGACCGACATTTGCTCCCTTAATAAAGTTATTGTCATCATGACATGAGAACCAAAATTTTAGTGGTACAACAAATACCTAAAGAGATCCTAGCATCGAAGAGAAGTAAGTCGGACCACCCATGACACCAAGCGGGGTCGGAGGATGGGTTGTGTGACTGCACAGATGGCCACTCGAAGAACATCAGTTACAGGTAAGCAACCTGCTCTTCTTCATCGTGGCCTCTGTGCATCACACATATGGGTAGAATAACAAGCTTACCCCAACTGGAGGAGGGAGGTGTCATCAACGAAGAACAGAAGAAAGAACAGCCCTGCCAAAAGAGCAATCTTGTCTGGCACGGACATCGAGCCTATAATGTCTGGCGAAGGTACACGGGGTAGCCCAAGTGGCAGCTCTGCATACGTCTTCTATCGGGACCCCTGATGCAAAGGCCGAAGAAGAAGCAACAGCCCTTGTAGAATGACCTCTTGGAGTAGATGGTAAGTCCAATTTAGCTAACTGGTAAGACAGAACAATTGTCTTCACTATCTATTTGGAAAGTCGTTGGGAAGTGACCAGGTAGCCTCGGTCATGTTCCGAGTATTTCACAAAAAGTCTACTGGAGTGTTGAACAGACTCAGTCCTGGACCTATAAAAGGCTAAGCAACGACGAACATCCAGCATATGCAGAGATCTCTCTATCGGATTCGAAGGGGTTGGAAAGAAGGCTGGTAAAACAATCTCTTGCTGCATGTGAAACGAAGTAGCGATTTTCGGAAGAAAGGACGGATCCAGCCGTAGAACTACCTTTTCTTTATGAAAATTCAGAAAAGGGGGGTCTACCCTAAGGGCACAAAGTTCAGAAGATCTACAGGCTGAAGTAACTGCTACGAGGAAAGCAGTCTTCCATGAGACAAGGTGTACATCAATTGTCGCCATGCGTTCGAAAGCTGGTCGAGTCAGTGCTTGTAAAACTACTGAAAGACTCCAACTGGGCATCAGGAGCCTTATTGTTGGATGGAGGTTACCCAATCCTCTCAAAAATCTTTTAATCAAAGGTTGAGAAAAAATGGAGAAACCGTGTACAGTTCCACGGTAGTGAGAAATCACCGCTGTATATACTCTTATGGAAGAAGGTTTAAGTCCAGACTGATGCAATTTGAAGAGGAATTGAAGAATCTGTTGAACGGAAGCCGAGGATGCCAGAAACAAGTGGGATTCGGCAAAGCTAGAGAATCTACGCCATTTCGCTGCATACGATTTTCTAGTGGATGGCCTTAACGCAGATTCGAGAATATATCGCAGATCTGGGTGTAAAGTTTGTGAAGTAGAGGTAGTAGGGATCGACGCTGGCATTGACACCGGTGCAGCGAATACGGTTATCGGATCCTCCATGCAGTCAGTTTCAGCGACAACAAGTCTGGGTGCCGGATCGCACCCTCCCTCTGGGTAATAAGGAAGAAGAGGGAGTTGGAGAAAATCCTCCCGAGAGATGTGAAGGAGAGTTGAGAACCATGGCTGGTGTGGCCACCATGGGGTAATTAGTAGCCCTGTGGCCCCTTCATGAATGATCTTTGTCAACACTCATGATGAGGGGAATCGGTGGGAAAGCATAAAAAGCCATGTCGTTCCAGGGGATCATGAAGGTATCCCCGGACGACCCATGTCCTATCCCTGCTCTCAAACAATAGTTCGTGCATACCCTGTTCTGTTGTGTGGCAAACAGGTCTATGTCTGGCTGACCCCAGCAGTGAAACAGTCTGTCGCGAACCCGACGGTCTAGTTCCCATTCGTGTGACCGCGACATATGTCTGCTCAAGAGATCTGCGTCTACATTGTCCGTGCCCGCAAGATGTACTGCTAGAAGAGTGATACCTCTCGGTATGCACCAGTCCCAAATTTGCATGGACAGGCGGGCTAGTTTCTGGGACCGGGTTCCCCCTTGTTTGCTCAAATAAAAGACCGTAGCCATGTTGTCCGAGGTCACCTGGACGACCTGGCGGAGAAGTACGTCCTCAAACGATTGCAGGGCTTTGAAAACGGCAAGAAGTTCCAGGAAGTTGATGTGGTTCCTGGAATCCCAGTGACTCCATACCCCTTGGGTACGTAGATCGGAGCAAATGGCTCCCCATCCCAGCAGACACGCGTCAGTACCGAGGGTCACTGTACGGTTCCAAGGTCGAAACGGGACACCGACATTTAAATTGGCTGGTTCTAGCCACCATAACAGGGACTGAAGAACGGAGACCGGAAGTCGAATCCGTTTGGTAGGTGGATCTGTCTGTGGTCGGAACATCCCGTTGAAGAACAGCTGGAGAGGGTGTAGCCTGAGTTTGGCATATGGAACCAGGCTGAAATTGTTGGCGGTATTGTGGGTGTGACCATGACCACTTTCGTCGAGGCAAGGATTGCAGTTCCATACGACGGGTCGTCATTCTGGATTCATGGATCTTCTTCAGTTTGCTATCCGTCTTCGCATTGAAAAGACCGGATCCGTCAAACAGCATCTCCTCAATTCTTCGCTTCATCTCGTCTGGAAAATTGCAATTACGTAACCAGGCATGTCTGCGGAGGGAAATGGCACCAACAAGCGACCTTGAATCAGAATCAACATGGTGCCTCACTGCGGAGAGCTGTTGCACTGCCACCTGCATAGCTTCCTTAACAAAGGTTTTTGCAAGTTCACCCTGGTTTCCTGGGAAGGTGTCAATGATGGCGTCTAGGCATTGCATAAGAAAATATTGATAGTGCGCCCAGGTCGCCTCATAATTGGAAATTCGTAATCCAAGGCCTGAAGCTGCGTATACCCGGTGGGTGAGGGAGTCAACTTTTCTTCCCTCTTTATCATGAGGCGAGGTGTGTCCATGTGCTTCCCGGCCCTGGGAGGATTCTACAACAACCGAGTTCGGCTTGGGGTGACAGAGGAGGAATGGGATGTCTTCCTCCCGAACCCGATACATAGACTCATATTTACGTGAAGTCGGTTGTGGGTGAGCTGGGAGGTCCCATGGCTGAGTCATTGCCTGCCATAGGGTCGTAATGAACGGCAAGGCAATAGATGTGGATCGTTCGCCCCTGACCACATCATAAAAACGGTCAGTGCTCGGTCCCGGTTGTTGGTGGGCTTCGATGTCGAGCGACCTCACTAACCTGGCCATCAATTCATTGAAAGAGATATACGGTTCTTCAGGTGACCCCAGGCCCTGCGAAGTAACCGCTGCATCTGGCGAGGTCGAGTCAGCCTCAGACTCATCAGATTCCATCCAGAAGGGGGGTGGTGCACGAAGAATCTCCTGGCGACTCTGATCTGCCACTTTCTCTAGATGGAGCCTTCAGGGCGTCTCTGGGCGCTGAATGGAAACGATCCCGAGGAGCTGGCGGCGAAGATCGTCCCCTGGAAACTGGGTAATAGGCCACGGATTGGTACTCTTCCCGTCTCGGAGCGGAGGAGTATCTGGAATGGTACCAGTCATTGGATCTAGCATCTGAGGAACGGCTCCTGCGGCTTCTCAGGGAAGAGATGGCGACCTCGGTATCCAGAGGGACAGGCGGCATTGGCGTTGGTGACCGAGCTCTCGGTGGAGAATCTTTTATTTCCCCATCTGAGATGGAACCACGCCGTGGATCCAGAGGAGGTTCGGCTGCTGATCGGCGTGGTGAGCCTGGGGGGGTAACCCTCATAGCCACCTGGATGGTCGGGACCGAGGGGGTCGGTTCTGTGGATGGGGTCAGGATCAAGGAAGTCGCCGAACCCGAGTGGCGATGCTTTGCGTGCTCGGGATTCCTCGGCTTTTTAACCGGCTTGCCCGCCTTACCTTTTTTGGCCTTCTTATGCACAGGATGTTTGTCCGAATCGCTGTGCTTTCTCTTCTCCTTTTGTTTCCTTGGTAGGGAAACGGGCTGATCTGTCATGGTATGAGCACCTTCTTCAGAAGGGCGTGAGGGCGGAGCAATGGAGGAAGAGGCCAGGCGTTGCGGCAGGTTGACCCAAGTTGGACGGCCTTTGGGTGGGGCCACAGTAGTGGGGAGGCTTAGCCACCAGCTGGTCCGATTGGAGGAGAGCCTGGTCCCACAAGAGTTTGCGGAGGCGGTTCTCCCGATTCTTCCTCGCCTGTTTGGAGAAGGCCAAACAATGGCTGCATTTATCAGTCCTATGCCCTTCCCCCAGACAAAGGAGGCACAGGTCATGCGGGTCCGCGGCGGGCATTTTGGAGCCACACTTCCTGCACTTGCAGAATGCCACCCGTTGCATCATCACAGTAATAGAAGAAAAAAGGAGATAGTAAAGCGGGAAAGTAATATTTCTGGGTTTTTGTTTTTGTTTTTTTTTTTTAGGAACAAGAGAGAGAAAAAATGGTGAAAAGCAAAGAAGTAAGTGAAATACTAACAGCAACAGGAACGAGGGAATATTCTTTATTTACTTATTTTATACTGTTAATTTTAATTGTATATTATTATGTTTGTATCTCAGTGTATTTTTTGTATTTTTGTATTTAGTAGTAATTTATTATGTTCTATCGTATTTCAATGTATTTTATTGTGTTGGAAGCCGCCCTGAGGCTTTGGCAAGGGGCAGCATAGAAATGTTATAATTATAATAATAATAACAATAATAATAATAATAATAATAACTTGGTAAGAAAAAGGGAAGTTTTTCAATAAGCGAGAAGGTAAGTAATGATCTAAGTGAGAGCGAAGTGGCACGAGGCACAACGAGCGGCAGTCGCAAAGACTGGAAAATGGCGGACACTCCGCTCCTTATATGATGCTAGGGGGGAGGGGGAGCGGAGTTCCCGCCAAAATCCGTTAGCTGTTAATCTTCCGGCCAGAGGCACTGCGCAGGCGCAGAACCCATATGTGTGATGCACAGAGGCCACGATGAAGAACCATTTTAATTTATCTGCTTCTGTTATCCCTGGCAGACTCAATGATAAGACTGAGAGCAGGAGATGAATGATGTAAGCTGCCAAGAGTTATTTAAAAAGAAAAAGAAGGAATATAAATCTAACAAACAAAGCGCTCTGCCTACACTGTACCTGCCAAGAATTGGTTGAATTAAAGACTGCATTTTCCCATGTCAATGTATAATTTTTGACTTAAATCAAAAGCCATTTTTAGTGTTATCTTGTTTGGTACTAAGAGAATGACATTTAGTAATTCTTAAAAATATTTACCAAACCTTTCCTTCTACTCTGCTAGGCACTTCCCTAAAAAGATTATGATTTCTTGTTATTGAAATCATCTTTCTAACCAGTTGTTAATTTGTGCATATTAATCTTACACGCAAGCCCAATGTAGCAAGAATCCAATTCCTTCTGTGCTTTTTCTAGCTCAAGAATACCGCTCTAGGATTCCTTCTGTGCTTTTCCTAGCTCAAGAAACCACCCAATAGCAAACATTTCTTAGAAAAGCTTTTGTGAAAAGCGATCCATTTTACTCTTAACACACAGTTCTAATCATCTAGATTAGACACACATCCGTAGCAGATTAAAAACTCCAAAGTAGAGGAAGAGCATTGCCACTGTTGCCTAAGTCACTGAGAGCTGCTCAACCTTTCAGAGATTTGAAGAGCCACTGGAATAGAAAGAAGTTATATAGGATGCTCCTTCCCTCTCTTAATATCCCTGCCCTAAATTAATTTTACAAACCCACCAATTAAATATACTATTTGAATCGTAAAACAATGAAAAGGAGTGTTTTCTTCCATGTCAAACTTTGAAACCATGAGGACAATTCAGTAGATTTCTAACCAGTACAACTATCGAATCTGAAGCAAAACAACCACTTCCAAATACCTGAATCAGGCAGTGAGTTAAGATCTGCACACAGCACCAGTGGGATGGAGTTGGTATCTGCTGATGGGCTTCCAGGCCTGCCAGAGGCTTTCTCAAGGATACTTTTCAATTCAGAGACAAACATCATAGTCTGGACAAGTTTTACATCCGAGTATTCAGGATCCCAATGCATATGGGCATTTGCTACAATAAGCAGCTGGTTGTCCACAGTATGAAGTGGCTTCATACCTAGAGTCAAACAGAACAGTTAAAACTCCAAAGTTAACTCAATTCCCCTGATACAAAAACCACAGAAAGGTACCACTCTATACGACTCTGGTGAGTCTGCAACTGGAGTACTGTGCTCAGTTTTGGGCCCCTCGTTACAGGAAGAATATAGCCAGGTTAGAGTTGGTGCAGTGTAGGGCCACAAGGTTGGTGGCCGGTTTGCAGGGGATGCAGTATGGGGCGAGACTGAGGGAACTGGGTCTCTTCAGCCTGGAGAAGAGGAGACTCAGAGGGGATCTGTTGGCGACATACAGGTATCTGAGGGGGTGTCACATGGAGGTTGGGAGAGACCTGTTCTCCCCTGCAGAGGAAGGCAGAACGCGCTCCAATGGAGCCAAGCGCAGGGAACCAAGGTTCCATTTAGATGCCAGGAAGCACTTCCTGACAGTTAGGACCCCGAGGGTGTGGAATGGGCTTCCACGAGAGGTCATTGAGGCCCCATCGGTGTGGGTGTTCAAAGACAGGCTGGACATGCACATGGTGGGCATGTCGTGAGTGGAACCAGCTGGAGCCGGGGGTCAGCCCAGATGGCCCGGGAGATCCCTTCTGACTTGCTCTGTTTCTAAGTGTCTTATTTCTCTTGTGCATCATTTCACTGAGCAAGTGCTGCTGGACTCACTGCCTGCACAGGATACATGGAGCATGATTTGGACAAACCATGATTCATTCCTGTCTCGCCGGTCTATCAACAGCTACTCTGCTTCCCACAGAGAGGGCCTGCAATAGCAGCGCACCCATCAGACCAACTGTGCTCCTTCAGGCCTGCCTCTTTCACACCAGCTCCTACATGGCACCCATGCACAGCGCCAAGCTTTCCGCTGAATCTGGGGCCTTGCAGGAACAGCCTGCCTCTTCAGTTGTTCTATTCTTCCTAGATGGGTGTCTGCTACAGTAATCGTCATGGTGCTGAGGTGGGAGGTGCACAGTTCCATGGAAAAGCTGATGCCTTACATGTACAGAAAAGCAGGCTTAAATTCCAGCATCTGCACTGGAAGGGATCCTAGGCCAACAAGTCTGGGCAAAACTGCCCTCGATGAACCAACAGAGCAATAAGGGGACTTCATATGCTCAAAAAGTACAGTGAAGGCATCTCCTAGCCAAGGAAGCTCCGAGTCCATGCCTGCCCATTCTTTTGCATCCTTTTCAACACAGAATAGAATACACTGATGCAAGGCAAAGTTTAAACCTTAGCATTGAACTTTTAGCAGGAAATACTAAGTGCAGAGCTAGATGTTCTTCCAACAAGAACTAGAAAAAAACAGTTTGGTAGATAATGTGACATGGGGGCTATAAAGAAAAGAAGGGCTGCCCCCCCCACACACACACAGCACCCATAAATTCTCTCTGGGCAGTGACCCCTTCCCAGTTCTTTCCTTCTCAGTCAAGTGCTCTTCCAGTTTTGGAAGCTGGCTGACAAAAAACTCACACCAATTAAACAATGGCATGGGGAGCAATCCAATCCAGTTCCCCTGCCATCCTTACATTAGCCTCACCAAGGAAAGCATCCCATTTGCTTTGTTCAGTTACCCCAAAAAATAATTTTGAAAATGATGATAACTGCAGAATTACTTACGTTTTGGAAAATGCTTCAGCAAAACAAACTACTGAGCTAATATTGTGCCATAACCGCATACTAAGTGATGCTTTTACTATGCAGAAGGAGTTTTCAAAACCCAGCATGCCTTACACGGTCTTTATCATTTTTGATTAAAAATTGCGCGACACACCCACCTGTTCCAAACAGTTCCTTATGCACCTCCAACACTACAGCAACCCCAATGTTGTCCTTCGTCATCACTCTGTTGAGCATAGCTTCTGATCCTTCAGAGTTTGCCATTGCCACTTGGTTGAATTCTACTGTGTGCTTTTGCACCAAGGTGAACCTGAAATGCCCAGTCCAAACAACAGAGTATTTATACATAATTTATCGTTATAATAATTATAAAAAACACACACACTAGTTTTCTTGTATGAATTACTATTTATGAGAAATAAACAAACACCAGAAAACCACAAAAACTTCCCTTCCCCATTTTTAAATACAGACAATCCTTGAGTTATGAACCTGAGTTATGAAGGGGATCTGTTGGTGACATACAGGTATGTGAGGGGATGTCACACAAAGGTGGGTAGGGACCTGTTCTCCCCTGCAGAGGAAGGCAGCGCGCGCTCCAACGGAGCCAAGCGCAGGGAACCAAGGTTCCATTTAGATGCCAGGAAGCACTTTCTGACAGTCAGGACCCCGAGAGTGTGGAATGGGCTTCCCCGGGAGGCGGTTGAGGCCCCATCAGTGAGGGTGTTCAAGGAGAGGCTGGACATGCACATGGTGGGCATGTCACGAGCGGAGCCGGCTGGAGCCGGGGGTCAGACTAGATGGCCCAGGAGACCCCTTCTGACTTGCTCTGTTTCTCTGTTTCTATGAACAACCTGTACTTATGAACAAACTGCCATAAAGCCTATATTTTAAAAAAAATCACAGCAAGAAATCATCATCACCACAGAGAAACAGGAAGTGAAAAGGGAGAGAGGGAGGCCTCAAAAGCATGTCTCCCTGCCCTACCCATCCAGAGAGGGAAATGCAAAAGGGCGGCCTGGAGGGGTACAGATAGTCACAGTTTTTCCATTTTCTTGGGGTTCTGATCCCCTAACCCCTGCAAATGTGAAGGGCCAACTACCTGATCCTCCTTAAATACAAATTTAACTAAAAGACGAATTTCCATTTTCACAGGAATGGAACTTATTCCTAACCTGGGGACTGCCTGTACATATACCAATTTCATAAACACCACAAGAACCAATTCTGAACTGTAATTAAAACACTGCTGGTGTATTTCATGCTCTATTTCAGGCACATAAATGAAAGCCTCTTACTTTTCTGTTTTGAAGAATATTGCACAACCATCCACATGCTTTCGCTCCTGCTCAGACATGATTTTGGCACGTGACTTTGGAGAAAAAAATCCATCATAACCACGGTCTTTTAACTCTGGCAGAAAGAGGGTGAAGTATTGCTCGGTTTCTACTTCCTAGAAATAAATAGTGATTACATCATTAGGTCTGCATGGAAGAAATGTGCACTGAGGAAAATGGGTTGCTTTTTTATTTTGTCTGGGGTGGGGAAGGATGCACAGTGCTGGTTTCTCCCATATGGCCTCAGGGCTTTTCAAGTCATCTACAACAGCACAGGGAAAAGCTACTCATATTAAAGCTACTGAAGAGGAGTTCTGCTGAATCAGATCACATAGTGCAGCAACCCTTTTCCCACACTGGCCAACCAGATGCTCCAGGGAAACTCACAAGCCCCACTGCTATTTTCCCATAAATGGTATTCAGTTGCACCCTCTGCCTCTTAAACTGAAGAAACTATATAGGCATCTTAGTTAATAACCATTTGTAGTCATTCTTAGGTATCAAAATATTAATAGCTCACATTTCAGGCCACAAAAGCCACTCAAGGCAGTGTGCAAAATGCAAAAAAGAATACAGCAACAAATTCAAGACAACAAACCAAACTGACAGCAAAACTATCACTGAAATTTCTGAGAATGAAGTCAACCTGGTACTACAAGCAATTAAACTCCCCATGGAACAAAGCTACTTTTCATCCTAAAATGGGGAAATGGGCCACCTGTCTTAATCACCTAGAGTGGAAATTCCACAGTTGGAGTGATACCACAGAGAAAGCCCTTTCTTGCGTTTCCAGTAACTTAGCCTCTTTTGGCGGTAGCACCTCCAAAAATATTATAACTATGTGCAAGGTTATATGGGAGGAGGGTGCTGTAGTAATCTATAGTCTTCTTCTCAATGACTTGCTTAATTCTCTTTTGAAAACCAGCTTAGGTCAGCAATACACCTTGTCGCAGGTGGGCTCCTTCATGAATTAGGAAGAAACAGTCTTTGCCCAAAATTTACTGCCAGCCAATAGCATTTGGTGGTGTGTGTGTGTGCTGAGAGGGCGGGGGACGTTCCTGAACACATGCTTTACACACAAAGCTCTAGCAATTCAAACTAGGGTTGGAGAGGCCCTTGTTTAAAAACCTGAGGAATCACTGTCAGTCATACAGAGGAGGAGTGAATAGGCTCACCTCCGCTTGGGCTTTTTTGTGGCTGTCAGTTCCCAAACTGCCACTGCACCGTTGTAGAGTTGGGATGGTGGCTGTAATTCAGTGGCAGGAAGTATGTGGCCCCTGATGGGTTCAAAGGATCAAAAACTGTCTCCAGAACCTTCTGATCTTTTCCACTCCTCATACAGAAGGTACTGAACTAGAAGGACCAAGGGTCTGACTTCATACAAGGCTGTTTCCTATGCATCTACAATCCTCATTTCCAGGGTCATGGAAGAGGGATAATTCTATCTATCCATCCATCCTGCAGTGTAAACATTCCTTATAATACCAGCTCAAACCAAATGGTTTTATGCTGGTTCCAGGATGAGAACAGAAAAGGCTCTCAGAAGTGCAGATTACAGTACACAGAAGTGTTTGCAGCCCTCCCACCCCCGCCCCTCACATGCTCCCAAGAATGACACTAAATCTCTGTTGGGTCCTTCTATGCAAACATTTCCAGGCTGCTCCAATTTCAGCTCTGCTGCTGCCTAAAACAGTGGAACAGTCCCCACTCCCCACTGCCTTGTTAAGGGAAGGACGAAAAAGCCCTTCTTCTATTTTGTCTTAAAATATAGCAAATTACTTCTCTCCCTGATTAAAATTAACCGATTTTGGACAACTCTCAGAAAAGTGTCCCCCTCCCCCACCCAATTTCCTGGGAGTCAAATGACCCTATGAAATTGCCTAAGTGTGGGGGAAAGACTGGCCCTACACTAATCTTTTGCCATTGTTGCATTAATGACATTTGTTATATATCTTGCATATATTTAAAGAACATGTGCAGAAGGCCACGGGATACCAGAGACCACAAGGAAGAGAAGAATGCACTAGGGAAATCCGGGGTAGGAATCCATTGGACTCCCTGGCTGCGGCTCCCTGGATTCCAATCTGCTTTACGGCAGCTTCGAGTCCTAGTTCCTGGCAAGCACTCTCAGTGTTTGTCAGGTGCTAACCAGGAGTCAAACTCCGTGGGTAGCGCAAGCAGTGTCACTGTGGCATGTGAGGAAGAGCTGCTCCCAGGGAAGCCACCCGCCCCCTGCTCCCCGTCGCATCACTCCTGTGTGAGAGGAGCACCTGCTTGCTGCATTGCTCAGCACTCGTAGTTGTGGGGGTGGTGCCAGGAGCAGCCGCCATTTGGGGAATGCTGCACGCAGTCGGGAGAGGCTGCTTTACTGGCGAGCTCCCTGCAACCGAGCCCCCTGCTGCACCAGCTGCAGCCACCTTTTGCCGCCTGTGCAACCAGGGCTGCTCTGCAAATGTTCACGGACGTCCTTTCCATTTGGGCTTGCCTTGGAAGACCAGGTCAGGCACCACAGGAACCCTGCAGATCCCAACAAGGTTTGTCCCAGCCCTAGATATAATCCATGGAGATGCCTTGCTATCAGCATTTTAACAGAAAAATACTCCTTCTACTTTCAGATGCAAAACATAGAATTGTGTTTTGTGTACCTGAAGACTAATTATATCTGCATCCCAGTTCATAATTTCTTCCATGATTCCCTTTTTTCTGTATTCCCAATTTAATGCCCAGGATGGGCAGTAGCCGTAGAGCTGTCTGGTGGCATATTTATCACACAGCACGTTGTAACACATGACGGTAAATGAGGCTGGGGGAAAAGAAAACAAAGGTCTGCTGATTAGCACATGAGGTACCTTTCACTTCAACATTTAGTACACAGTGTTTCACCCCAGTAAGAAGTAAATGGACGCTTTTCAAGAGGCCTCCAGAAAATTGTTCAATGTGGAATCCTGTGCATGTTTTGACAGGGAAAAGGCCTAAAATGGGGCATGCTGGGAATCATGGGCTTCCCCTCCACACATAAATATCCATAGGATTGTACTTGTAAAAATCAAATCTCCTCCACATGCTAAATGAAGGCTTATTTTAAACATGTCAAGTACACACTTGCTTGTAGTCACCATTTTATCACCTGGAAAATGGCTTTGTTCATGTTGAAATATTAGCATAAATTAAAAAACCCTACACGGCCTAGATGTGTGCATATGAGACACTGTTATCAATCAGAACTTTGGTGAGTTTCTAGCATATCTATCAATATCACATAATTTTGTACATTTCAGTAAAATTAGAGGCTACTAGATACATTTTAAAACAAAGTACAGTTGGCTGTCGGTAGAACTGTTCAGCTAGCTAAGAACAGGTCAAAACCTATCAGGTTCAAAAGGCAGACTGATGCATTGTGAACAGACATTAATGTTCATGTTATATATACAGTTCACGTTATACAAAGAGAGAGAGAGACAGAGAAAGAGAGACTATAGGTGTGGTTTATAAATTTAAATAATAGCAAATAAAATCCCATATCCCTAGGGCATCAGCAGGGGACAAGTGTGCAAGATCACACAAATACCTGTGTGATGGACTTCTAGCTTTCTCTGTATGCCCCGCTTAGGAAGCAGACCTGCACTCTTGCATGAGAACCCTCCTCTGACATTATACATGCTTAGGACCACTCACTCAGACTGGTAAAACTGCAGAGTCAGAACTGAGTCATACCATACAAATGGGCTCTTCCACTGCAGTAAAACCAGTTGCCTGCCGGCAATTATATTTTACAACTCTAACAGCAACTTTAAGCATGAAGATTCCACTAACCTGTGTCCTGAGGTGTTACCTGGTCTATTTATTAAATGCTACTCTAGAGGCTATGGACTGACGTCTAAATGCATTACGGGCAGTTGCCAATGTGACACTCTCAAACCTAAGTGACAACGAACATCAACACAGCCTCTAAAAGCAGAATCTGCTAAGCAGCTGATTAGCAGAAGGGAGCACAGCATCCTATGGCAGCCTCCCCTTTCCCTATGGCTGGTTAAGTGGCCATGAGCAGCACTTCTACAAGAACCCTCCAATGGCAACAGAGAAACGTTTTCCACATTGGTGGTGCTGGGGAGCAGGTTCCCTGGCGATTAAAAGCGGCAGATACATGTATGGATTTAGACAACTCGAACAGGCTTTGCTTGAGCATTTTGATACCATGCTATTGCCACTTCTGGCCCTCCTTGCTGGTTTCCCTTGCTGCTGCTGCTACAGTGCAAACTCAAAGAGCCCACCTGGGGTCTTTCAGGGGTCCCACAAAGGTTGAGCTCTCCCTGCCTGCTGCGGTCCCCTCCCAGAGCCTCCTGAGAACTTGCTATTTCTGCCTCAGGCAATGGCTAGACAGCAGAAGTAAAGCAGGCAGACTGTGTAATCGGGGCTGCTGAACATTCCTGTGCTTATCATAATGGAGTAAAACTTGACAAGCAAGAATGGTCCTAATAACAATAATCATCATAGACATCATCATCTCCTCATCCTCACTTGCACACTTTCGAGCCAGTCTCAACAACTCTGAGAATGAAATTCTTTCAAAAATAATCGAGGCGAGCCTGCGGGCAGCAGGACATTCTCTCAGTGACACAAGCTAAAGAACGGGTGGGAAACACACCACATGGCATCCTGCATGTGACCACTTGGTGAGAGCTGCAGCAATAGCAAAACAAAGTGTTTGCTCAGCATCTCAGAAAAGTATATTGGTAAAAATTAGCTTGTCTCAAGCTAAAATTGACCTATTTATGGGTGAAAAGGTCAAATTTAGCTTGAGTACAAGCCATGTCTGGCCTACTTACCATAGAGGTTTTCTGCCCAATTCAATAGTAAACAAAGACTCCTATACAGTGCCAGCAGCAGAAGCATAGCCTGTGGTGGGAAAGTGGCAGAGGCGGCCAAAAATGGCTCCCCAACCCCTTCCCCCAAACGGCTCACTCTGAATTGAAGGAAAGATTCCTGCATAGTCACCTGAGGGCAGAATTTGGTCTCTTTCTTTTAATGTAATCCATGGCCTTTGAGGCAGCTGCTCCGGATGAACTGAAATATTAAAACATTATAGCACGTTAGATGCCCCATTATCCCCGATAATATTCCATACTGATCTACAGAATCTAATCCATACTGAGCTACAGAATCTAAAAAAGAATCAAGTAGCTCCAGTCATGTCCCTGCATAGTTTATCTCTACTTGAGCTCCAGAGGCCCCCAGGATTTTATGCCACAACCAGAAACCTAGGGAATGTTGATTGTATCACTGTGCCCCCATCAGATCAATGTTCCCACACCAGCATCAGCAGCTGCGTAAGAGGTTCAACAAACAAGGATGTGCAACATCCCTCATGAAGAAAGATGAACCAGCAGGATTCATACCAGCGGCCTGCATCCCGCTTCAGGCTGGAGCGGAAGCTTGGCCGTGGCACGCACCTGCATGTATTCTATGCCAAGCACTAGCAAGTGCTTTGGCCTGTGCAAGACTTGGGACAGTCACTGGTCATCCAGGGCTCCTTTGTCCCCTTCATTGGAATTTAGATGCCAAGCAAAACAAGAAGGGGAAGCAACAGGGACCAAAGACATAGCAACAGCAGCATCCACTTTGTGGGAGGTTAGATGAAGCAGCAAGAAAGTCGTTTCTGTGATCATTTGTCCAAAAGATGGTGAGGTAACTGACCACCATTTGTGTGTGTGGAAAGCGAGGAAAGGCACAAAAAGAGTCTGGATGCTGACGTACAGTTGGAAAGAGAGAAAATAGTAACACCAGTGTTCTTTGGCAGGAACAAGAAACAGGGCTAGCAGGAGGAGTTGAAGGGAGAGGGCCTTTATAAAGTACTCAGAGTTAGTTGAAACTGCTGCAGCGGAGTTGGAGTCGTGTTGATGAGACAAGGTGAGAAGGACCTCCCATGTGCTCTCTTTCTGAGATAAGAGCAAGAAGTGGGCTCTGTTGGTTTTTAAGAATAAGAACACCTAACCGCCGCCCCTCTTCCATTCAGCATTTATAGTTGAAAGCTGGATTTGCTCACCCATGGATTGGAAACAGAATTGGGTTTTGCAAAGGCATGAATGGTGTAATGAAATATGGAACATGGTAGTTAATGATAAACTGACGACAGAAATAAAAATTAAAAGAGGGTTAATGAAAGCAAATAAATATAATGAAATTTGGGAAGATTTTGTAAAAGCATTACTGATTGAAGGCAAAGGCTGTAAACCCAATCAAGATTATATGAACTTCTTGAAGGGATATGGAAATAATTGAAGTATATTATATATTATTAATTGTTATGGTATGTGAATGGTGGTAGCATTGGTCTCCAGGGTGGTGGGGGCACTTTATTTACTTTTTTTTATTGTGTTTTTGTTATATTATTATTGTTGTGATGTATTGTAATTATTTTTTTGTCCAAAAAAATGGGGGGGGGAACCCAATGGACAAATCCTTCCCCTTCCTTCCTAGCCAGCTCCTCAGAGTGAGGGCTCCTACAGAGTCAGACACTTCATGTTTAAGTGTGCATTGTCCCCTTCTGACAAATACTTACAACATAACCCCCCACACACATATCTGGTCATAAGATGATTATTTCATTCTGATGAAATTGGAGAATTATGCGAATTATAACTGAAAAGTATGCTAGCATTGAAGCAAAAACAAACACTTGTTACCTGCTAGATTGTCAAGCATGTAGTTCAATAATTTCCGTGTCCCATCTGGATCCTGGTACAGGCTGAGAATATCTTGTGATAAAGGATTGCCTGCAAGCAGAGCATGGTGTTTAACATCAGGTTCAGCTGCACTGTACTATATTCCCGTTTCCAATAAATCAGCACTAACTACAACAGGATCATCTCATTTCTTGCAACTCCACTGCCACTTGAGACAACAGTGAAGAATTTTTACAGTTAAAATGAAATACGTCAACCCCTTGCCACCTTATATTTACATGGTAATCCCCATCCCTATCCAGAAAAAATATGTTGACCCAAACACTGATGATCATGAAAGTATTCGAGGGGCATTTTCTCCCACCCACCCCCCAAATTCTGGGTCAAATATTTCAGTGCATACAGGAAAAAGCAGTTGCAAGGGAAAGAAAGCGCAAGAAATAGGCTTCATTCTTAGACAGGGCTCAGGAGCAATGAAGAGGCCTTTCTCTTCTCAAGGCAAAGCCAGAAACTAAGTATGGAAGAAGTCTCTTCTTCAAAAAGGTTTGAGGCTTTTAGCACAGGAAAAAAGTGAGTACAGATGGAGAGGGCACACACCAATAAGAGCTGTACACAATTATGAATGGAATGGAGGAAATGGATGTGGATAAGATTTTCTCTCCCTCCTAATACTGGAACCTGGGCTGAACGGAACCCACCTGTTCTCTTATCCAATGGCAAATAATATGCACCTTTTATTGTTAATAACAGAGATTGGTATGCTACTTTTTAATAAACCAGCATCATAATAAATGCGCTTTGAGAGCTACACATTCAATACAGGCATGATTCTTCTCTCAGGCAACTTAAAAACCAAAATAAGCAGTGGAGAAGAAAAAGAGGGAGGCAGGAGCATACACTACTACAGATACTCAAAGGCTAATTACAGAAATCAGAATTAAAGAAATAAATGAAAGGCTGTTCAGAAAAAGTGGGGTGTGAGGAGGGATTTGAAGGAAGTGAGGAAAAATTCCAGGGAAGGCCAAGTGCCAACAGCACCTCCAACATTCTGGACCATCCAGGTGGGAGACAGACATTAATGAAATACATGCTTGACAATCTCGCAGGTGTCTGTTGTCTTTCATTTGATAGAAGGAAACTGCCCACCGTCATGAAAGAGGAGATGGCGTAAAAGGGAGGTTTTTATATTGCAAGGCCTCCTGAAGGGAACCGTTTCAAATAAAAAACAATTTAGGAGGTCCACTATCTGCATCTAAATGCCCATAATGCTCACAGTCAACAAAGAACTGGTATATGGCCTCCTATAGCTGCATACTTTCTTCTCTTGGTTTGATTCCCCCAAAATGAGTGATGCACTTTTTATATTGGTTCCTGCCCTTACCTACCTGGTAGGAAAGGGACTGCAAGACTAGGGAACAGGAGCCTGGTTCTCTGAAAAGCCACTGCTAAAGTCAGAATTTAAAAAGTTGTGGTGTACAGAGCAATGACCTGACCCATTAAAAAGCAGTTTCTTTATCACCAAGATTCTTTGCTGTTTGGTGCCCTCACTCTGCTCCTTAGTGCCGTGCACACTCTTGACACAAGCTGTTCCTTTAAGCATTAGGCTCAGAACTGTACATCGTAATAAGGACTCCAAAAGCACAGCACTCTGGTTAATACAAATGTGTTAACCTATGCCTCGCTGGAAGACAATGTTGCTGTAATTATCTTTCACAGTTACAGAGGTGCAGTACTATTAAGAGCAGCATGGCAGCACCCAACAAAGAGAAAACACACATGCAGGAGCACTCCCACTCTCTCCCTATTTCAAAGTCCTTAAAAATGCAAATAACTCATTAGCACCTTTTCATAAGCAAAAAAAAAAATCAAGAATCCGCTCCACAAAGGAAATTTCTCTATAATGCTTCTCCATAAAACCACTGAGGAAGAGGTGATAGCAATGTAAAATGCCTCACCTCAGTGCCTGGGCTGGATTCAGCAAGAAAAGGAGCACAGCAAAATCAAAAGGGAAACACACAACAGAAATTTATTTATTTATTACTGGATAAAGTACAGGAAAAACAAAACAGAAATCCAATACCTGAACTACCAACAAGATTTGCCCCAATTCCTATTCTTTTCTTTATGAAAACAGAAGCCAAGACATTGGCAAAGGTGAGGAAAAGGGAATCTAGGTGACACGGGGGGGGGGGGTGCCTGCATACAAAAGATGCAATATATCGCTTACCTTTTAAACCTAATGTTTGTAGCTGGAAGAGCCGTCCAAGTTCATAAGGCAAAACTCGTAACAAGTTGTTATTTAAAAGCAATTCCCTAAAATCAAAGGAAACAGTTCATTAAAGTCATCTTTAAAAGGATAATGTATGTTCTTGCACTCCATTTTTTCTATTTCTCTGAGTAATGAGATGGGAAAGCTGAGGAAGAGAAGAGACTGTGTACATCAACATAAACCAATGCCCTGCCCACAAAAGAGTAACCACTACAAGGCTTAAGAATTTATGCAATCAGTTATATTGGGAAGGGACAATAATTCCTAAGTATATCTCTACTTGCTAAGCTGTTTTCAGCAACTCAGTCAAGCTGTCCTAACCAGCCTTTGTTTCATCCTGAGATAAGAGATTACACAGAGCAAGAGACGAGGGCATTCAAGGATCAGTAATTACTCCACATTACTTCTCAGATTTTTAGAAAGCAACTCTGAAAGAAAGCACAGCTTCTTTTCTAAGATCCAAGTTCATATTTCCCTCTGAACCACGAAGGAAGAGCTTTTGTACAAAGAATAATTAATCATGATTTGTTGAATTGTGTGTTGTCATTATGAGTGAATCCAGAACTATAGGTTAACTCTGGGTTGTTCAACACAAACAACCCATGAAGAAAACTCATATTTTGTTGTTGGGTTATAAACTGTGGGTTTTTGAAACCACAGACTGCCATTACATGTGAACCCAGAATCATGGGTTGTTAATGGGTTGTTTTGCTGGGCTACAGAGGCAGTGGACAACAGTGGTAACCCCCCGCCCCACAACTCCTTTACATGCCACTACTGCAGTGCCACAAAAGCAGTTGGGATACAGAGAGGGAGCCAGTAAATAAGGGAAATAAAGGCATTGAGAGGCATTGAGAAAACCCATCATGGTATATTCACCTGTCAACTAGATGAACAATGGGTAGGGCAACAAAAGAAAATTTAAATTAAACATTGGTTAGCAGTATGTGCCATGAATATTGTTAACTTTGAGAATAAGTGTTGTGTTGGAGAAAGGGCACACAAATGCTAGAACTACAAGGCTGCTCAAAGTTGAAAGCACCCATTCCAACACTGTAACATACAGCAAAGCATACCCATTGTCATGTTGTCTGCTGCCCCACCAAAATTTCTCAACACAAACTGCCAGAACATGAGCATTGTACCATGCAGTCCCATCCAACGTTTTGCAAAAAGAAACCTAAACATTTATTAGAATGATCTCTGGAATTTCAAGTATATAAATTGTTTAAATCAACAGCTGGATTAAACTTTACAGTTTTAATACAGTTTAATGAGCAGTTTTACCATTGTGTGAGACTAAAATTGCAGCCAAAATTCTTTCTGCAATTGTTCGGGAAGAGACAACAAGAGCCCTCACCTGAGAGATACCATGTTTCCTAGTTCTGCTGGTAAACTTCTGAGTTTGTTGGATGATAGATCCAGGTAAACCAGATTATGAAGCTTGGCAATATCGGGTGGAATGCGAGTCAAATAGTTGTCATTGAGGTGGAGAGCAGTCAAGTGCGTTAGCGACCAAAGTGACGTACTTAAGCTCCGCACTCTACCTAAAGTGAAGAGCATGTACACCATGTTAAGCATTTAGGCAGCTTTTTCTACAAGCCCAACAAGCATAAAGGCATAAATTTGCAAGAAAGAAAATCAGACATGTGCTGGTAACCTAGGAATCAATCAAGCCAAGCCACACACATAACAACTAAGTCCACACCAAAGGGAATACTTTTCTAATAGTCTGAATAATCTATTTGCTATGATTTCTATGCAAATGCATGCACATGTGTAGGAGAAGCAGCTGGAAAGAAGTATTTGCTAATGATAACCTGAAATAAAGTCGCTATTCGGTTTCAGTTTATTACAGCTAGAGACTTTGCTTCACTTAAAAGAGGGGTGAGAATGTGTGGCTTTGGCCTACAACTTCCATCAGCCATAGCCACCACTGCCATCTGGTGAGGAGTAAGGGGGGCTATAAGCCAAAACATTTGTAAGTTAGGCTTGACAAAGGAAATGAAGAACCTTTATCAAAGACATCAAAACCAAATAATTGTCAGGGCTTTTTTTGTCATAGAATGCACCAAAACGGCGTTCCAGCACCTTTTTTTTGATGGATTTTTCCAAGTGATTGTGAATCGCCCTGTTGGGCATAGCAGGTCGGCGGCAAAAATCATTAACATAGTGCCTATGGGCTGCTTGTGTGTCTGCACTGATTGTGAGGGCGCTGCTCGGCTTGGGACACTGCTCGGCTCGGGATTGGTCTTGTGGTCGCGTGCTGAGTGCTTACTGCCGGCAGCGACCATTATGTTTATGTGTGTGGAGAGTGACTGGCTAAGTGCAAAATGGAAATAAGTTCTTTATTTCAAAAAAAAGTTGGTGAATTGAAAATCTTTTTTAGAGTAAAAGTGTGACCCCAAGAGGTGAGTTCTGGCACCTTTTTTTTTTGAACAAAAAAGCACTGATTATTGTTATTTCTACCCTCTGCCATGAAAATCTTTAAATTCTCCCACAGAAAAGCAGAAATATTAGGAATAGATCTGGGAAATAGAATTGCCTATTATGGTAGTTGCTGAATAAAGATGCAATCTTTCAAGAGATGTTGAAGCTAGAATTGGAGGAGAATGATTTCCTATCAGATGAGTGGACAGGCACAGAGCTAACACTCCTCACTTTCATTTCATTCTGCAAGCATACATTTCAATTATAATTCACAAGGGTGTCCCCAATTTCCCCAAAATATTACTGTAAACTTTTTTTTTAATGAAAAAGGGTTTTTTTTCCCATTTCAAGTCCAGCAGTGTGGGAGGAAAAAGCCACTGACATTGTGCCAATTTCTCTATTTGTTTCTCACAACCCCACTGCATTGCACATCTCTGTTTTTTATTATTTCCTTTCCTACAAAGATTTTTTTTGTTAGTTCATGGAGCATATCCACTTTGATCTTGAAACAACTTGACTGAAGGCAAAACCCATGCTTGGCATTTTGACTGTAAGACTCCTATGGATGATATCATAATAGGTTGTAACAAACTATTCACAAACTTATTAAGCAGGTGGGTAACTCATCTAAAGGAACTGAAATCCACCACCTTCAACCTGGTAACTCACCCGAGATTTCCAATTCTGCCCAATGGGACTTCTTCCCATTGGCTACCTCCTCTGCTGACATGATGGTATAAATTCTGCGAGGATCGGGAGGATCATATTTTTCCTTTGGCATCCCTGTTAGTCTGAAAAGTGAACCAGAAAATGAAGTTACAAACAAATCTCCCAACATTAAAAGACCCATCAAACTGAACTCCTGCACAAAAATTTAGCAGAAATCTTATATTAATTGAAGGCAAAACAAGACTTGATGGCAGCCATTCTATGTATTTAAGCAAAGCACTGGTCCTATCCGAAAAAAGGAAGAATTTGGGTGAGTTTGAATAAGGGCAGAAGAGGCATGGGCATGAACTATACAGAATCCTCCCCAACCCATTAGTCACCTCCCAGAAAATTGTCTCTCCAAGTACTTTTGATCTCAGCCACACTCAGAAAACAGTAGTGATTCCAACTGGACCAAAGATGCTCAGGGAAAGGAACTGCAGTGAAATAAGTGAAAAACACAAGGAACATTTAGTACCCCTCATCTGTTCAACAATTTTGCGGTTAAAAATCAGACCCCACCTCCCAGTTTCTATTCAACTGGGGCAGTTAAAAGTTTAAACACAGAGAACTGCTCTTGCCATGTTTACTTTGGCCCCTAAACCAGTGCTGGAGAAGTAAGAATCAGACTAAACAAGCAGACAAAAAAAAAACCCAAACAAACCCTGAAGCCATATTTTGTTCATAAACAATGTTTAAAAAACAAACAAGCCACAAGTTACTTCATAAAGTATCATCTCACCTTAATGAACGAATTTAAATTATATTTGCTTATAAGGTTTACAATGTCCCATATCCCAAGCATACAAATGTTTTGAATGAATGAATGAATGAATGAATGAATGAATGTGCTTAAGGGCTACCATCCATGTTTTAAAATCTATCATGATGCCTTGATTTAGCTGCTATTCTATGGCATAGAATGAGGTTGCTACTTTCTTTTCACTGACAAGTAGTGGCTTAAATATAACTTGTAATTTAAATAGAAAGGCATTCCAACCTTGGAATACAGCACATAATTAATTGTATTGTTCCTTAGTCTAACAAATATACAAACTGGTAAAGAATACTTTTCTTTCAATATTGACATACATACCAGACTAAGATATGGAGAATTTTTCTCATTTTTACTTCCTCTAGTAAAAAAGTCCCAATCAGGGTGGTGGAGAGGACAGGGTGACAGTATAAACTCCTTAACATAAAGTGTGACCTATTCATATTTAGGAATTCTGAAATTAAGGGTCTTTTTCATAATTTCCCATTGTTTAAAATGTGTAATTATTTAGAGCAGAAGAACCTATGAGGGCATCCCCCAAACAATCAGCTATTTAGTAGTAGCCACTGGTTTCCCTCAATTCCACAGGCTACCCTAACATTCACTTTCTCAGTTCTAGCTTCACACTCTAACCCAGTAGGAGAAAGAGGTTTGTCATTCTCTATCCTGTAGGAAAGGCCCTAACAGGTAAAAATGCAAGGAAATTGATAGAGCCAAGCTCTACTGTACCCTACTGTAACCAATTAATTCCAATTACAATAGACTTTTCCCCTTGCCAGTATCATAGGGCTGCTGTCTTAAGAGTCTGCAGCTGCAAGTCTGAAAAGGAGGTTGTCTACTCTGTTGGTGGACATTTCCCAGTTCAATTCTTCGTTGCAAACTGTCATAGACAAATAGTTTATTCTTTGAAAAATAATATTTGGTGCACGATCAGCAAAAGTTGATATGCAAACTTATTGCCATTTGCACTTAGCAATAGGCACCATTCACAAAGGATTGGTGGTTCTCTGACTAAAAAGCTAGTTTAAAAATAGATTTAAACATTATGTTGCTTTCTTTCAATAACTAATGCTCTTAGCCCTAGTATATGCCTGCTTCTGTGTGTCCACACAAAGGTCTTGATTAACTGTATGCATTGTGACTCTATTTAGCTGAAGCATGTCCAAATGACCTTCCCAGAAAATATCTATCTCAACAGTTAGTTGGCATTTGTATTTAATGAAGACAAAATTAAAACTCCAGACTAGGAATTTCCAAGGACATCATTGGAAACATAAACTGCCAAAACAGTTGTACTCTACTAGAAAGCAGAATTATATCCGGGGGGGGGGGGCGCATGTAAGCTATCAGTTTTGAAAAAATAGCTGCTGTAATTCTGAACCCACAAGATCCTCTGACTTTAACTGTCTTGGAGAAAGAAACGCTTCTGCAAGCGCAGTGTTGCAATATGAAGTGAGAAAAGCTACATCTGCCAAAATCCTCCTTTTCACAAAATGTTCTGAGGGACAGAAACCTGTTCCAAGACTGGACATCTCAAAACTTCAATTTTATCACGTATTTACGTGGCTTCTCACACACTGCTGTCAACATCACAAAAGGAAACAAAGCACTGCCAGCAACTGTAAACCACTCTGCACGTATCTTTCTGAGAAAAGTTACAAAAGTTTAAAGACTAATTGGGCAAAGTCGTTTCCACAGAGTACCTACATGAATGGAGCACACAGTATATCCCCGTGAAGTCACGGTTCAGCGTTTGTGGCCTCAGTCTTTCGAGGAATTTTCCATGCGGCAGCTTGCTCACAAGGAGGTGGTTTTCTTGGAGCGAGTCCAAACCTTGAGAGTAAGCTGGTGCCTCACCATGCAGCGGCTTGCTCGCAGGAAGATAGTTTTCTCTGAGCGAGTCCAAACTGATCTCCTTGCGAGCACAAGGAGATCAGTTTGGACTTGCTCGGAGAAAACGATCTCTGTGCATGCCTGCCTCTGCCTCGCCGCCCCCCAGCCTGGCCCGTGCCCCCCGCCTGCACCGCCTTGGCGGCCCATGCCCTTCACCGGCACTTTTCAACTGGCCCCCTGTTCAAAAAGTTCGAGGACCCCTTTTCTAAGGCTTCTGGCAATGAACCTTCACCATATTCAAAATTTGCAGTTTTTCACAATTCGCGGGTGCTCTAGGAACACAACCCCCACGAATTTCAGGGGACTACTGTATTTGTCTGGTAAAGAGAAGCCTGCTATCCCACAGCCTAACCACAAATACATTTCTATCTCTGCACTCTTCTATCCAGGGTGCCACTAACTTTTCATTTCTGAAGCATTTACTATTAGCATATCTTAATAAGCTGCCGGGATGTGAGTGCCAGATAAACCAAGAGCAATATTGCCAGGATGCCAGCCTTTGTCTCTCGGCTAGTCTTCTAGCAGGGTCACCCAAAGCGGAACCAGCAAAGGTGAGATACCAGACTAAGATGCATTTATTTTTTTATTAGATTTACATCCCACATTTTTTCCTTCCAAGGAACTCAAGACAGCTTACATAATTCTCCTCCTTTCCAACTTATCCCCACAGCAACAATCCTGTGAGGAAGGCTGGGCTGGGAGTCTGTGACTGGCCCAAACTCACCCAGTTAGCTCTGTGGCTGAGGAAGGACTAGAGCTCAGATCTTCTGAGTCCCAGTCCCACACACTTAACCACCACACCACACTGGCTCCCCACCCTGTTCAGCTGCAATGTTCACATCAGCATAAGAGAAGGGCTATCTGTAATAGTGATTGGGTCAAAGAAACTCCTGAAGGGCAGCTACTGGGCAGCAGCGGTGGTTGAAAGCAACACTGGCAGAGGATTTTTTACAGACAGTGGCAGTGACGCTCTGCTTAGGACTGTGCAGAAGAAGGCAGTGGTAAACTACTTCTGAATATGCTTACTTTTAAACCCTGTGATGAAACAATCTAAAATGAAACAAGAGATACTGTCAGAAGATTGAGACTCTCAGGTGGGAAGGCACTCAATCAGCTACTGAGGAAGGGCAAAGGACAAGTAGCAATAGTGTTGCTGCTAATGACGCAACTAGATCACAGCTGACAGGAAGTCTAGTGGCTGCCATGCACAGAGGTGAAAGATGCTGCACAACACATACAACTGGAACCTGGAAAGTGATAAGTATGAATCAAGGCAAACTGGAAACCGTAAAGCAAGAAATGGTTTAGTTAAACATCACAGTAGTTGGTGTAGGTGAGTTAAAGTGAACTAGAATGGAATATTTTCCATCAGAAAACACAAAATGTTTTACTCTGGAAATGACAAACTCTGAAGAAACAGAGTAACTCTAATACTGAGGCAAGCTGTCATGCAAGCAGTAAATGGCTATAATGCAAAGCCTCACCAAATCATAACACTTAAAATTTGTGAAAAAGCTATCAACATAACCATCATTCAAGTCTCCATTCCAACAACAGATACCAAAGAAGTAATAAAAAACTCCTATGCAAGCTTCCTACAAAAAACTGATAGCACCCCAAAACAATTTTTTTCTGCTATTTTCTACTTTGTGTGCTTATTGCAAATTGCCAGCCAGAGAATCTGGGTTTGACCTAGAATCTAGCTTGCACAGATTCAGAGCTGTCTGAGCCTTTGAAAGTATTGACTGAGGTTGAAGAGCTCCATCAGCCCACAGCCTAGGCTAATAAAATATCTATTATCAGTGGATAAATGTACTAAACGGGATCTTAAGCAAGAATGGAATAATAAATGGAGCACCCCATTTTGTCCAATCGATGGTGTCTCTCTTTGTCATCAATTTCAAAGGATTACGTAAATGTTTCAAATATTATGAACACCACATCTTTTTGATGAGGTCTTAATTAAATCAGTCAAGTGTTAGAAGTCCAATACTTCTAATGCTTATCTTATTCTTATGTTTTGGCAATGTCCAATGGCTTTTTCCTTTTGAGAAAAGGGCAATAACCTAGATAAATTTTGTAACAGCACATTCTTTAATATTCAATGTCCTTCTTAATATTCTACCTTATCTTGAAATTTAATATAAGGTAACCACAAATGCATTTTCCATGCCCTTTTAATAGCTGAAATACTAATACTACAACAATGGAAAGTAAAAGGCCACTGGTGATTACACAGTGGATGGAGGACTTAGTGAAATTTTTGATTTTTGCACAGGTAGCCTTTAGGAGTCATTTACAAATGGTCAAATATATAGATATTTGGGTTGCCTTTGTTGAACTTTATGCACAATTATATCTTGCTACATACAAAATATGTAGGTATATGTAACATATGTATTTACTGTGATGGAT